ATGAAATTAAAAGACACTTTACTCCTTGGAAGGAAAGTTATGACCAACCTGGACAGCATATTTAAAAGCAGAGACATTACTTTGCCAACAAAGGTCTGTCTAGTCAAGGCTATGGTTTTTCCAGTAGTCATGTATGGATGTGAGAGTTGGACAGTGGAGAAAGCTGAGCACTGAAGAACTGATGCTTTTGAACTGTGGTGTTGGAGAAGACTCTTGAGAGTCCCTTGGACTGCAAGGAGATCCAACCAGTCCATCCTAAAGGAGATCAGTCCTGGGTGTTCATTGGAAGGACTGATACTGAAGCTGAAACTCCAATACTTTGGCCACCTGATGCAAAGAGTTGACTCATTGGAAAAGACCCTGATGCTGGGAAAGACTGAATGCAGGAGAAGGGGACGACAGAAGATGAGATGGCTGGATGGCATCACCAACTCGATGGACATGAGTTCGGGTAAACTCCAGGAGTTGGTGATGGACAGGGAGGCCTGGAGTGCTACAGTCCATGGGGTCACAAAGAGTCGGACACGACTGAGCGACTGAACTGAACTGAACTGACTCTGTCACTTGTCAGCTGTGTGACCACAGAAAAGTTACTTAACTTATCTATACTTCTGTCTTTTTATCTGTAGAATAACGATTCTCAGAGGGTTGCTCTGAGAATTAAATGAGATAGCAATTAGAAAGTACTTAGAACAGTACTTGGTATACATAGTAAGTGACCAATAAATATAACTATTATTATTTATCACAATTTCTTTCACTTTAGCACAGTGTATCTGTTTTTCAACCCAACTTAACACTAGTCATTTTCAAAGTATCAGGACCAAAATGGATGGGAGGTGGCACTTTCCAAATTATAATGTAAGTAATCAATAAATATATTAGTTACACTGAAAATCTAAATCCAAACAGAAGAATTGTAGTTTTGTGACATATGTGCTACTTAGCAAGCACAAACACTAATGATTTCTGCTGAACTAAAGATTCATCTTGATGAAAGAATAAAACAAAATTGTTTTAGTGCTCAAAGTAATTAATATCATTTTACACGGCTGACATAAATGATACATCTATAAATGCTTTGCTTCAAATACTTTTAGGTCAAAAATATTCCCTTCAACCCCTGAGGATTTCCAAGCAGTAAGCCCTTTATATTTCATCCATTCATTCAATCTTACTTCAGAAAAAGCATGCACCTTCTGGAAAAGTAAAACCCACCTTAAGAATCCATCAAGTTATTTTCACTAATTTCAAAAAGCACTCTAATGTCTACGTGAGTGTCCTCTGTAAATTTTTAAATCCCATGAAAGGTTAACAGACACTGTTTTTTTTTTTGGTAAGACACAAAATAGCTGAAATGACTGAAGTAGGGAAATTTAGGATACAGAAAGATCTGTAAAGTCCCTTTTAACTCAAGAACTATGATCATTTACATAGAAAAACACTCCTTTCCCACTGATGACACTTTGAGCATCCTGACACTTGGGCATAGCTCGGCCTCTGGAAGGCCTTCCCCAGTCAGACCATCCACTCCTCCTCAAAGGCCACCTCTAGTCCCTCTTCTCCCCACCTCTCCTTCTCTAGTGACCATCTCCGGCTCTGAGTCTTCATCTTCCTGTGTCCCGCCACTGAGGCACCAATACCAGAAAAGACCCATAACTGGCTTTGGGATGTGGTTAGAAATGATGAGATTTTTCCCACTTCAGATATGTGACAGGTAGAATTCAGAGATGGCCCTTAAGATTCCAGGGCTCTGGTGTATACAAACCTTGACCCCGTTTTTAGGCAAACGCTAACGTGTGTACCACTGTGACAGGATCTGTAATACATTGAAGGGAAATGCAACATATATCTTATATTTGAAATAAAATTAAGGTCTCAGGTCAGCTGATCTTAAAGGAGACTATCCTGGTGGGCCTGCCCTAATCCCATATGCTCTTTAAAGCTGGGCTCAGAGTCAGAGACAAGAGAAGTTAGAGACGTTTGAGGAGTGAGAGGGATTAGACACAAAAGAGATTCTCGACAGCTGGCTTCAAAGACGGAGGAGACCATGCGGCAAGGAACGGGGACGGGGACAGCCACCCAGGAGACAGTGACTTCAGTCCCTGCAGAGAACTGAATTCTGCCAACGGTCTGCATAAGGCTCAAAAAAGACTCTCCCTCAGAGCATCCACCCAACAAACCAGCCCAGCCCGACACTTTGATTTCAGGGAATAGGGAACCAAACCTCTCTTTTCGTGCCTGGACTCCTGACCTACAGAACCAGGAACTGATGAACAGGTGTCATCTAAGCCACAGAATTTGTGGTCATCTGTTATGATGGCAGAAGAAAACTACTGCAATATATGTAGGTCATTCTCTCCTCCTGGAAGGATTTTTGGGAGGGCAGAGACAAGCGATAATCCACTGAAATAACTTAAGCATGCTGGAGACAGAACGGATATAAATACTTGCTGACTGAACTCAACAGAAACGTAACTGAAGGCTGAGGACAATTTAGGAAGATTCCAGGCAGCCCTCAGGGCAGCTCTGTGCTAATACCTGCATTTGCTGCGGCCCAGGGAATGAGGATGCAACATTATGTTGGCGGTGGCGATGATGGTTTAGTCGCTCAGTCATGTCTGACTCTTTGCGACCCCATGGACTGTAGCCCACCAGGCTCCTCTGTCCATAGGGACTGTCCAGGCAAGAATGCTGGAGTGGGTTGCCATACCCTCCGCCAGGGGATCTTTCCTGACCCAGGGATTGAACTCATCTCCTGCCTTGCAGGCAGATTCTTGACCACTGAGCCATTTGGGAACAGGAGGAAAATCTAAGACTTCTGGAGACAGAAGACAATTTTTTTTTTTCCCTTCATGAGATGCTGAGGGTGGGAGTCAGCTAACTGGCTATACACCTCATTAGTTAAACACCAGCTGGGGAGAGGTGAACAAAGAAGTCACTATTCCAGGGAATACCCTTCTCTTTCCAGCCCGAGAGTGGGCCAAGGCTGCTGAGATGGGACAGACCCACAGGAAGAACCTAGGCAGCCCTTCCCATTCCTGAGAGCTCTAAGACCAGCAAGGTTGTGATGTCCACCCAGTGGGGTTACTGGAAATCCCCCCATTCTGAAGGCATTCATCCACTTTCTGAAGCTTGCTGTGGCGGTGGGAGTTGATGAGCAGTGCTACCTGGGGTCAAGACAATCATTCCTCTCAATAGGTACTAACTATATTCTTTGGTCTTGGCACAGCTGGATATCAAAATGCACTGAGCACATACTGGGAGAAAGTACTCACAACGCACATATCTGGCCAAGAATTCCGTGCGTGCTAGTGCATGCATGCTAAGTCGCTTCAGTCGTGTCCGACTCATTGCAACCCCTTGGACTGTAACCCACCAGGCTCCTCTGTCCATGGGATTCTCCAGGCAAGAACACTGGAGTGGATTGCCATTTCCTCTTCCAGCCAAGAATATATAAAGAACTCTTATCCTTTAGTTCCCTGGTGGCTCAGTGGTAAAGAACCCGCTTGCCAATGCAGAAGGCTCGGGTTCCATCCCTGGGTCAGGAAGATCCCCTGGAGAAGGAAATGGGGAAACACTGTCTCAAAAACACTGTTTCACAGAGAAATCCAAACACACACAAAAGAATATACTCTATAGGAAAAGAAAGAGTGTTAGTCACTCAGTAAAGTCCAACTCTTTGGGACCCATGGACTGCAGCTCACCAGGCTCCTCTGTCCATGGGATTCTCCAGGTAAGAATACTGGAGGGGCTTGCCATGCCCTCCTCCAGGGGATCTTCCCAACCCAGGGATTGAACCCAGGTCTCCTGCATTACAGCCAGATTCTTCACCATCTGAGCCACCAGGGAAGCCCTATGCTCTGTATGATTCAATTTATATTCTGCTCAAAAAGAGAGGGTCAGTCCATGGGGGGAGAGGTCAGAGTAGCAATTACCTCCAGCTGGGAGGGAAGAGTACCAACTGGAAAGGTCACCAAGGAATATTCCGGGGCTCTTAGAAATGCTCTCTATCCTATCTGGATGGTGGCCACATAGGTGGGTACATATGTAAAGTCACTGGTCTATACTTTTAAGATTTTGGCATGTCACAGTATGCAAATCATACATAAATATTTTAAAAGGAAAAATCTGCACTAGCAATTACCAATGGAGAAAACCAGAGACAGCTAATATCGCTAGACTATCCTTCTGGGTGAAGGATGCTACACCTTGTGTTGGAGAGCACAAAGTAACACACTCCATCTTTGCTCTCTCACGGCTTTAAATAAAATACAGGAGCCAAGAAAAACACTTATCTAACCAAGTTACTCTTGTGCTGCAAACGCTTTGCTGGAATCGTGGAGCCCGGATCGCCCAGATGCGGTGAAGTCGTGCCAGGCGCTGTGCTCAAGAGCTTTACGACCATGATCTCATTGAATCCTCATAACAACCCCATGAGGTAAGACCAAACCCACTCTGGGGCAGGGACACTAAAGGTCAAAAAAGCACTTTCCTGAGGATGAGGGAAACCATCCGTAGCAATACATCTTTATATTCCTCCACACGATTCATTAGGGCGCTCTGCACCTCACAGGCATCTGGTAAATGTCTGAAGAATGGACCAAGGCGAGACACACGCGAACTTCTGCTTAACTGAAACTCACATTAAGAAGTCCCGAGCCTCGCTCCAAACGAGACTTCGACGGGAAGAGGTGGCCCTCGGATTAAGGCAATAACAGCCTCCCACCTCCCCTGTTCTCCTTCTGGACAATGCAACGCGGGTGCTTCTTTAATCAAACCCCACGTAGCCAAAGTAAGAGGGTGGGGAAAAAAGTTTCACTTGCACCAGAGACAGCACCTACCAAAGAGGTGTGACTGTACGGCCCCCCCACACGAAACGCCCAGCCTCGCTGAGCCCCACCCACTCGGGCCCACGCATGCGCTCTCGAGCCCCTTGCCCGGGTCGGGGGAGGGGGTAGGCTTCCGCGCACGCGCAGATTAGACGAGTGACAGCGTACCTGCGCAAAGCCGGAGGCGGACACCTTTTTCTTCTTGCCGGCGCTGTAGCCGCCGGCGCTGCTGCCGTTGTGGGAAGGACTGGCCGGCCTTTTCTTGCTGTTCCGGGCTATCCCCGGAGTGGACGTGGTGGCCACAATGGGAATCTGGGCCGCCATTCCCACCCTGAGCCTTGCTCCTCCCCCCCTCCCCACTTGGGTCCCGGTGCAGGCCTTGGAACTTCCGGCCTGCCGTTACTTCCGTCTCGATGGTTTGAAAACCCGGCCCGGACTCGGAAAGCGTGCGTTGCTTCTCTCTGAGCCAGATCTAAAAGGCGGAGCTCGGAGCAGTCTGTTCCTTCCGGGCGGGACGGCGTCTGCCAGGGCAGAGTGCAGCTCCTCCCGCGCTCTGATGCCGAGCACGTGCTTGGATGTCCCCAGGGTTGGAGGATCGGACCTCCACCATCCCACTATCTGTTCTGATTAAGTGGATTTTTAAAAAGTTAATCACCACGTTGTCTCTTCTCAAGTCAGAAGATTGATCCCTTTTGTTGTCTGTAAGTATACAAGTAAGGACATTGTCCGTGGACCAGTACTGCCAGGCTCCTGGCTCTCCCCTTAGTCGCAGCCTTGTTGCGCAAAAGTGTTTCATGGTGCCCAGATAAACTTGAAGGGCAGAGTGGCTCCTAACCTTGTAAGGGTCACGGACCCCACTGAGCATCCGAGCTCCCCCTCTGCACCTCCTCATGCAAGTTACAATCAAACATTAAAAAGTTCACAGATCTGCTAAAACCTATTTATAAACTTAAGTGGAACACCACCACCCCCCGCCCCCCTCAGTTACTAGCCATGTACTACTTTGTATTTCTTCGAAGTTTTGTGACATAAGTTACTTGGTTTATAATCGGTAGGCTAATTTATTTGGCCTCTGCTGGGACATAAGCTGTATGAGGGGAAACCAGTTATGTTTTCCTCACTTTTCTTTCCCAGGTTCACAAGTACCTTGCAAATCATTGTTACATTATACGTATTTTTGTAATGAAGTAATTAAAAAATGAATGAACTCCTTGTAGTAACTGGTTGAAGCTGCTGTTTTCTGATACAGGAAAGGGGTATTTGTGAATCTGGATATTTGAAAGAAATAGACTGCAGAATGACTTAAAGATGAGAGAAAGAACAGTTAGGAAACTAGTAGTAATGTTGTTGATATCTTTTCTCCCTTAGAGAAAAGAATAGCTTACCAGTGTTGAAATGGTCCCTTCTGTGCTCCAATCTCCACCCCCTCGTCACCTAAATCTAGTCTTCCTTTTTTCAGTAACTAACACCTCCAACCTGCTGGTCACCTAAGCCAGGACCTAGGTGGTGATCCTGGCCTCCTGGGTCTATTCTCTTCTCATTCTGGGTAACGACCCCCTCACTTCTGTTCCTATCCTGGTGAATCCATTGACCCTCATCTGGATCCTTGCAACACACACACTCTGTTTTTTGTTTTGTTTTAACTTTTTTTTAAATTTAATTTTTATTTTATATTGGATTTACACTGTTATGTTACAAAGCCCCTTTATGTCAGTTTGAACTTTTGTCTTTTCTGATACCACCCTGACCACAGACCACCCTTCATCCTGGTTTCCAGAATGGTCTAACTAGATCACAGAGCTAATCACATCACCTGTGTTCTTCAGGGGCCTTTTACTTTGGCATATAAGGTTCTTATAGAAGTGATGGAATTACAGCTGAGCTATTTCACATCCAAAAAGATGATGCTGTGAAAGTGCTGCACTCAATATACCATCAAATTTGGAAAATTCAGCAGTGGCCACAGGACTGGAAAAGGTCAGTTTTCATTCCAGTCCCAAAGAAGGGCAATGCTAAAGAATATTCAAACTACCACACAAACTGCACTCATTTCACATGCTAGCAAAGTAATGCTCAAAATTCTCCAAGCAAGACTTCAATAGTACATTAACCGAGAACTCCCAGATGTTCAAGTTGGATTTAGAAAAGGCAGTTGGACCAGAGATCAAATTGCCACCATCCACTGGATCATAGAAAAAGCAAGAGAATTCCAGAAAAACATTTGCTTCATTGACTACACCAAAGTCTTTGACTGTGTGGACCACAGCAAAGTGCAGAAAATTTTTAAAGAGATGGAAATACCAGACCACCTTACCTGCCCCAGAGAAACCTGTATGCGGGTCAAGAAGCAATAGTTAGAACCAGATATGGAACAACGGACTGGTTCCAAATTCGGAAAGGAGTATGTCAAGGCTGTATATTGTCACCCTGCTTATTTAACTTATATGCAGAGTACATCATGCAAAATGCTGGGCTGGATGAAGCACAAGCAGGAATCAAGATTGCCAGGAGAAATATCAATAACCTCAGATATGCAGACAAATCCACCCTTATGGCAGAAAGCAAAGAAGAACTAAAGAAGCTCTTGATGAAAGTGAAAGAGGAGAGTGAAAAAGTTGGCTTAAAGCTCAACATTCAGAAAACTAAGATCATGGCATCTGGTCCCATCATTTCATGGCAGATAGATGGGGAAACAATGGAAACAGTGACAAACTTTATTTTCTTGGGCTCCAAAGTCACTGCAGATGGTGACTGCAGCCATGAAATTAAAAGATGCTTGTTCCTTGGAAGAAAAGTTATGACCAACCTAGACAGCATTTTAAAAAGCAGAGACATTACTTTGTTGACAAAGGTCCATCTAGTCAAAGCTATGGTTTTTCCATTAGTCATGTATGGATATGAGAGTTGGACCATAAAGAAAGCTGAGTGCTGAAGAATTGATGCTTTTGGAAGTGTGGTTTTGGAGAAGACTCTTGAGAGTCCCTTGAACTGCAAGGAGATCCTACCAGTCAATCTTAAAGGAAATCAGTCCTGAATATTCATCGGAAGGACTGATGCTGAAGATGAAGCTCCAATACTTTGGCCACCTGATGCAAAGAACCAACTCACTGGAAAAAACCCTTATGCTGGGAAAGATTGACTGCAGGAGGAGAAGAGGGTGACAGAGGACAAGATGATTGGATGGCATCACCAACTCCAGGACATGAGTTTGTGCAAAGTTGGTGATGGACAGGGGAGCCTGGCTTGCTGCAGTCCATGGGGTTGCAGAGTCGGACACAACTAAACAACAACATACGGTTCTTAATAACTGGCTCTTCCCCCTTCTCTTGTTTCATACTGAACATTTAATTCTCTGTGCTCTGGCTGGGTCTAACTCTTGCCTAGGGTGTACATTCATTCTCATAATTCTTCATAGTTTCAGTTCCACTATTTCCTAAGAATGCTGCAGTTCAGATGCTACTTCCAGTGAAAAGCTCCCTGCCACCTGATGCCCCTTCCTTTTCCTCTGCCTTGTGCCCACCCTGTGCATGCCTCCCAGAGGGCATTGAGCACAGTGTGTTCTGCTGGGCACCTTCCCATAATCCTCATAATCATAAATGTTTACTGAGTTCAAACACCTGTCCCCTGCTTCCAAGCAGTCAGACAAGTGAGTACCTCACCATCTGACTTACCAGCACAAAATTCAGTCCTGATTTTGTCTTCTCTTTTCTTCCTGAATTCCTTCCCTTGGGACTCTGAAACACCACCATCCTTTTTTTTTTTTTTTTTCCCCTTTTTCCTAACCACTGATCCTTTCTTTGACAGTTTTTTCTTTTACCAAATGGTTTCTAGTCACACTATACTTTTTTCAGAATATAGGTTATGTAGACATACTCCCTGGACTTCCCAGGTGGCCCAAGTCATAGTGAATTTGCCTGCCGGAGCAGAAGGCTCCAGAGACACGGGTTTGATCCCTGGGTTGGGAAGATCCCCTGGAGAAGGAAATAGCAACCTACTCAGGTATTCTTGCCTGAAGAATCCCATAGACAGAGGAGCCAGTCAGGCTGCAGTCCTTAGGGTTGCAAAGAGTCACAACTGAGCACATGTACACCACGCTAGACATGCTCCTCCTCCAACAGACAGGTTTTTAAAATTTCCCAGGTGATTCTAAAGATCAGTGAGGTTTGGAATCAGCTCTTCCTGCTCAGTCCTTACACATTAATAGTTCCTCACTGCTTGGTTAAAGGCCCTCTGCCCTCCACACATTGTACTCTCCCCAGACATTTCACCAACTCACAGGGGGTTCAGGTGCCATCTAAATGAAGATGACTTTCATATTTACTTCTCTTATCTGGGTCTTTCTCCAAAGATGCATATCCAGATACAAAATTCCCCACCTGGATATGAATTCGGATGCCTATAGTCATCTCACAGTCAACACGGCAAAAAGAGACTTTGTCTTCTTCCCTGCTCCTCCAAGATATGCTCCTTCCTACTGTCTCCTGTCGCAATAAATGCCACCATTATCCACCAGTCGTTCAAACTGGAAATCTGGACGTCATCCTTAACTCCTCCCCTTTGGGCACCTCCACACTGTAACCCCATTCCAGCCACCATCCCCTCTCTCTGCTGCTGTTGCTTCTGCTAAGTCGCTTCAGTCATGTCCGACTCTGTCCGACCCCATAGACGGCAGCCCACCAGGCCTCACCATCCCCGGGAGTCTCCAGGCAAGAACACTGGAGTGGGTTGCCGTTTCCTTCTCCAATGCATGAAAAGTGAAAGTGAAGTTGCTAAGTCGTGTCCGACTCTTTGAGACCCCATGGACTGTAGCCTACCAGGCTCCTCCATCCATGGGATTTTCCAGGCAAGAGTACTGGAGTGGGTTGCCATTGCCTTCTCCACCTCTCTCTCTCTAGGACTCCCACATTGCCTTTTATCTTTTGGATTCCTGTGGTCTCTTGAACCCAATTCCCCCATGCAATTCCACTTGACCTTTTGTACAGTACAGATGTGCATGTGTTATCATGCCCTCTGCTGGAAACCCTTTGGTGGCTTCCCCTGGTCCCTAGAGTGAAGTCCAGTGTCCACAGCGTGGATTAACAGGCCTTCAGGGAGCTACCCGCCTCTCCAACCTTGCCTCTCACCAACCTTGCCTCTCACCAGCTCGCTGGCCTCCAGTCCAGTTTTCACTTTTTTGTCGGTTCCACCAGTCAGTTGTATTCCCTCCTCTCTCAGGGCCCTCACCCACGTTGCTACTACTTCTGCCTGGAAGTTGCTTTTCTCCCCACCCCACCCTCATTTCTTTCCACTCACCCTTCCTGTCTTGGCTGACATTCTATTAGTTT